GGACAACACTACGCACGGCTTACCAAAGCCAGGTAGCAAGCTCTAAACGGCTTTCTCTGGTTCCGAGCCTGCTCCATTTCCATTAACCCTAGCTTTAGAACTTCTATTGTAAATAATGAAGAGGTGAACAGCACAGCAGTGCAACAGACCCTTCAGTAAGGCTGGCTCCCTTGGGATGCAAGAATACATATCTAGACCAAAATACATGGCTAACTCAAATGAGGTTTTTCTGCTCCTTCCCTGGGAAGTAGAGTGTCCCTGAGTCAATGCAAGCCCCTTAATTTTTATATACTGCTCAGTCAGAGGCAAGTAAACCAGTCCTTACACTGTCTGGAGGAGCCATATTCCAGAGGGAGTAGTCTGAATGCATGAGGTCATTTGCTTCAATTCCAAAATGTGAAATCAACATCAATATGAAACAAATATTCCTCTTACTTTTGTCGCCTCTTAGTCTAACAGGAGAAAGTTAACAGGAAGAGTCCCATGAAACAAAAAATCCTCTCTGTGAGCCCTGGTCCTTGGGCATGGTAGGACAAAATGTTAATGGACTCCTCATCACATGGCCCAAGATCACTGGAGCCATAACACACTACACACATTACAGCACACTAGAACACATGGGCCCAGAATACATTCTTGGCTCCAAGATGTGTAGAGGATTAAAAGGAATGTTGTTCTGTATGCTTCAGTCAGCCAAACAAAGTGGTAACATAATATACAGAACCACACACATAACAAGTAGGAAAGAAACTGGGCATCTGTGGCCACTCTTTCATCCAAGCTTTCTTAACCTTCAAGCGCTCACCTGTGAAGCCATGGAGTGGTGAGTGTGGCCGTGGTAGTGTAGGTGATGTGCTAGAGGTCACAATCAAGCTCTTGCGGTTACTTGTCCGACAACTGCAATGAAAACAAAATGTCAGTTATAACAGGGCCACACCAAGGGCCTGGGGACCTTGAGTGGCTATTGAGGAACAAAAGAGTGACACCATTCCAGGTGCTGAGCAGTATACCACTTTAAACTGAACTGGATCAGCAACTACTGATTGTACCAGCTAGATTCCATAATTGAGTATGTTCTGCCTTGGAATAATTTTTGTCCCTGCTTTCACTTTTACCTTGCTGAGTATCCCTTATCCAAAATTCTTGGGACCAGAAGTATTTTGGATTTCAGATTTTTTTTGGATTTTGAAATATTTGCAGATACACACTGGTTGAGCATCCCTAATCCGAAAATCCAAAATTCAAAATGCTCCAATGAGCATTTCCTTTGAGTGTCATGTCAGTACTCAAAACATTTCAGATTTTGGAACGTTGCAGATTTCAGATTTTCAGATGAGTGATGCCCAACCCAACCTGGATTGCTACTGCACTTTTCCAACGTTTAGGTTTGCTTCCCAAACAAACATAAGGAGCTCCCTAAGGGCAACGACCCCGTTCTAAGTGATATCTAATGAAGAATGACCACTGCTAATTTGATTTAGAAAATAAAAAACAAAAGTCACAATATTCTCATATCTCATAAAAATTAATGTTCTTTCTTGACATAAAAATGAAATCATTAATCTATGTAATTTGTAGAACTGCTTAATTGATGAATTAAATAATATTCTTATTTCACCATATTCTCATATCTCATAAAAATTAATGTTCTTTCTTGACATAAAAATGAAATCATTAATCTATGTAATTTGTAGAACTGCTTAATTGATGAATTAAATAATATTCTTATTTCACCATATTCTCATATCTCATAAAAATTAATGTTCTTTCTTGACATAAAAATGAAATCATTAATCTATGTAATTTGTAGAACTGCTTAATTGATGAATTAAATAATATTCTTATTTCACCATATTCTCATATCTCATAAAAATTAATGTTCTTTCTTGACATAAAAATGAAATCATTAATCTATGTAATTTGTAGAACTGCTTAATTGATGAATTAAATAATATTCTTATTTCACCATAAATTTCAGAACAGGCCTAGGTTTCTTCTATAAAACTGGCTTTCCATTACATGCTAATGGCTGACGCTTTTGCTTGTGGTAGGAGACAACCAGACCATGATGAAAAGCCATTTCATGAAACATCTGTTACTTAAATGTTCATATAAATCTATGTGAACGTCAGCCTATCTTTTAAAGTCATTAGGGAAGTTTACCATTGACACTCATCCAAATAAATATTTATTGAACACCTACTATGTAGTAGGCACTCTTCTGGGTACTAGGGAAGCAGTAGGGAAGAAGAGAAAGCCTGTCCTCATAAACAGAGTGAACAGTGCTATGGGAGAAGAAGGAGAAAGAAAGAATGGGGAGGGAGAAAGAAAGGAAATAAGAGCCTGGCACTGGAGTGGAAGCTGTGGTAGTCAGGGAAGACCTGACTAAGGAGACAACATCTGATCAGAGGTCTGAATAACATGAAGGACCCAAACACAAGAAGATCTGAGAGGCACAGAGAAGTAAAAGCAAAGGTACTGAGGTAAGAACAAATATTATATGTTCAAGAAATAGCAAAGAAGTCAAAAGTGGGTGACAGGAGGTAAGAATGATAGGGGGAAAAGCAGGTTATAGAAGCTATGAAGAAAGCCACAGCCAGACCCTGCAGGGCTGGCAGGCCATCAAGGAACTACTGGAAATGTGAAAAGAAACTACTGGAAGGATTAAGATCAATCTCAAGATAGAGATTATGCTAAGAAATGATAATCCACCTTCTCCTAAGAAAACCATCAGGAGGAATCCAAACATGCCCACAGCCCTAATTACCGCAGTCACCACCAAATGCCCAAGGCTCTCATTCTCTGTCTTGACACATTTCTCACTACTCCTGGACCTTTCAGAAAACCTTACATTGTGCCTCCTTGAACTCAATCTCTCCCTATATCCTTGATTTTTTTTTTCCCTGAATGTTCACTTTAAATCCTAGCTCTAGGTGAAACTTTGCTATCTCCCACAGACACCAAAGTCCTGGTGAAATCCCAACCCTTTAAAACCCATCTTTTCACCTATTTTGCAACTGTACCCAGGAACTGAGAATGACTGAGGAAAAACTCAGAATCACACTGGCTGCTTGTTTCTTTATATTTACAGTGACAAACATCAAGTGGATCCTCATTACCACCAGCCAACCTCATTACATTTACCTAGGTATTGTGCTCTCTCTCCAAGACAACTAATTTATATCTCCTCAAACCTCCAATACCCTCTCCCAAATCTCATCCTCATCTGCCAACTTTGCTTTTTATTTAACTGGGGGAAAAAGAAACAATACAAAGAGAAGTACTATGTATTCCATTAAAAAATCTACTTGCCCTCCTGAATCTGTATCCATATATTCTACTTTTCCACCTGTAACAACAGTAGGAAAGACCATGCTCCTACCAAAGTCAGCTTCCCTGACTCCCCTATTCAAGCTGTCTGTACCTGCAGTGTCCTTCCCTTACTCTCTCCTGCACCATGAATTTCTACTTTCTACTGGGTCATTCTCATCATCATAAAGACATGATGATATGTATTCCATCATAAAAAAATTTTTTTTTAAATTTTCATAGACAATCTCCATATCCCCCACATATTTGTTCATTTCTTTGTTCCCCTATTTAGGAGAAATCTCATGCAGGGGTTCTGTACTTGTCACCTTCACTTCCTCATTTCCTATTCTCTTTAGCTCACTCTAAACACACACCCCCATCTTGCCATTGAAACCACTGTCATCAAGGTCACCATTGACAATGGTCGATTCTCAGTCCTCATTTTATGTAAACTCTCACTATCATTTGGTAGTTATAATTTCCTCCTTTTTAAGAAATTGGGATAAAATTTACATTCAATAAATACACAGATCTTAAGTATTCAGTTCAATTGTATTCACCCATATAACAGCACAAACACACACAGAATATTTATATTATCCAGAAAGTTCCCTTGTGCCCCCTTCCAGCCAACCCCTGTCCCCAACCACCTTCTTCTTCTTCTTTTTTTTTTTTATTATTTTTTTTTCCTTTTTGTCTTTTTTCGTGACTGGTAACGGGATCGCAACCCTCAGTGTCGCGCCCGTACCGCGACCAGCAATGGGATCGCAACCCTCACTGTCGCGCCCGCACCGTGCTCAACCAGTGAGCAGACCGGTCTCTATATGGGATCCAAACCCTCGGCGGGAGCGCCGCCGCACTCCCAAGCGTCGCACTCTACCGAGTGCGCCACCGGGCCAGCCCCCCCAAACCACCTTCTATCGCCATAGATTAATTTTGTTTGTTGTTTGATTTCATGCAGATGGAATTACATACTATGTGTCTGGCTTCTCTTGCTCAACCTCGTGTCTGTGTAACTCTTTTCAAGACACTTCTTTACTTAGTTTCTAGGACATGATGTTTTCCTCCTATCTCTCTAGCTGCTCATTCTTCATTCTCCTTTCCTGGTTCCTTCTCTACCTGACCTCTAAATAATTTAGTGTTGTGGGGTTCAGATTTCAAACATATTTTCTTCTCTACCTACACTCACTCCCTAAGTGATTTTTTTCAGTGTCATGGCTGTAAATACTTTTTATTGCTAGCTCTGTGCTCTCTCCCGAGTGCAAGACTTGTATCCATGTCTACTTGATATCTCCACGTGGATGTCTAAAAAGCATCTCAAAGTCACCATATCCAAAGCAGAGCTCTTGAATTTCCTCTAAAATCTGCTACTCCTCCCTAACTTATATTCATCTAACTATGTGGCACCCCCATTCATCCAGTTGCTCAGGCAAAAACCTACACATCATCATGGATTTTTCTCTTTTTCTCACACCTACATCCAAAACAACTACCAAATTCTGTGGGTTTTACCTACAAAATAAATCCTGAATCTGAACAATTCTCATTACCTCCATCCCTAGTACTACCCTAGCCTATAAAAGATTCCTAAATGATCTTCCTCTTTCTACTCTGGTTCTTCCTGCTCAACCCTTTCCCTCACTTCATGCACCAGTCTACTATTCTTCACCCACCAGCCAGAATAACTTTTTTTTTTGTCCTTTTTGAGACCGGCCGCACCGCACTCAGCCAGTGAGTGCTGTGAGCGCACCGGTCATCCCTATATAGGATCCGAACCCGCGGCAGGAGCACTGCTGCGCTCCCAGCGCCGCACCCTCCTGAGTGCGCCACGGGCTCGGCCCCAGAATAATATTCTTAAAGCCATCAATTGGATTGTGTGACTTCTTTCTTAAAACCTCCCCAGTGGCTTCCCATCACATTATGAATATAATTCAAACTCCTTAACATGGCCATTCAAATTAATTCTTTGGGGAAAAAAATCTACTTCTTCTTAGTTAAAGTTCTTAGGTAATCTTTTGCCTTTTGAGTTTCCTTAAAGAGAATCATAACGATATTTATTCAGTCCCTTGTTCTGAAGGCAAATAAGATATAACTATTCTCAACAAAATAAACTCTAGTCCCTATAGTTTTGAACATGAGAAACTCTGCAGAATGAACATATGAAACTACAGTGGCCCTTAAAGAGCTTACACAGACCAAGAGAATCCTAAGCAGAATGATACCTCAAAGACTTCTACTATACTTTGGCTCACACTACTTCCCTCAACAGGTAAGTAACTTACCTTCTTTAACTTACTCAATTATACCCATCCTTCACGAATCATCAAGCTCAAATGAGGTTTTGTATGAATTCTCCTTTATTCTTTCAAGCAGAACAATGCCTCTCCTTTCTTTGAACTCCTTTAACACTTACGGCTTACATTACTCACGGCCTTAGTGTCAGTGTAGCACAGTAGACAGAAATAGGCTTTGTAATAAGAAGATCTGAGCTTGAGATTGACGGTTTGACCTTGAGTGACTCACAAATTCTCATGCTTTAATGGCCTCAAATATAATGAAGACAAAATAAATTTTACATGTCAATC